GACCAGGCTCAAGTACTGTCTACATTTAGCTACTTTTTGGTGACGTTTCACTGCTTTACTGTTACGGTGGTTAGTTTATTCATAAGTGGGTAGGTTTTGGGTGGGTTTTGGGGAAGAAACTTTGGTGGGACTTTAAAGACGGCTTATGATACAACGGGGGTTCGTTTAAGGGTCTTGAAGTAAGGGAAAATGGGTTGAAAAGTCTGGAGCGTACCTGCAAATCCTCCTAAAGGCCCCAAGGGAATGGGTAACGGAGCCATCGAGAGAGAAACATCTCGATCACGGGTCTTTTCCTTGTCGGATTCGGGTGGAGATTTCCGCGAGGACTTCTCCTCCTCAATGATGTCCTCGATGGGAACCTGGAAGGTCACTCATAAGAAAGTAATGCTTGAAGTTAAGTGGAGGATTTACATCTGGTGGCCGAACTGGATTCAAGGGGGCCATGAACTGGACCAACTTGGTGGCTAGCTGATGCCACATGATGGAAGCCTCGCAATAGGCACACTCTGCCACCTAATAAATTAATTTATTCGTTGAATTTAATGAAATTACTAGAGTTCAAATGGATTTACCAACCTTTAAGGCGCAGACGTGACTACTGAGGCCCACTCGAGCTGCAGTTACCATGCACTTGATGAGCCTGGAGACGTTCTCGCAGACACTCGTGTGGATGCCCATGTGCTGCTCCACGTCCTGCAGTTCCATTTGCTTCAGAAGGATGTCCAGCATGAGGATGCAGCAGGTGAGGTTGTGCTCAGCATCCGTGGAGAACTCCGTGTGACGATTCGTTGGCGCCTCGTCATCGGAAATGGCAGACGTATTGCCAGAGTCATCCTCGACAACAGGAGCTATTGAATGAATACCAAATGCATTATACTTGTACTTAGTGATAAAATGTTAGTGAAAATATTCACAAATTGAGCTACGCCTGGGTGGATTGGCCATATCCGCCTTGGTCTCCTTGCTCTCCTTACACGGCGTCTTGGGAGCCTTGGCCAGGGACTGAGATTGGGCATCCTTCTCGCGCATGAGCTCATGCTGGATGCCATATTTCATTATGCGAACACCATCGCCGAACATGGCGAACAGCTGCACCAGTGGGATAAGGATCTCGAGCTTGGTGAGGATCTGCAGCCAGTGGAGCGCCTGCTGCTGCACCTTCGCCGTTGTCTTCTCAAATCGAATGGCCACAAAGTTGTACATGGTTTTGGCATCAAAGCCCAGGGGGGACATCTCCGGATCGAGGATCTTGCTGAGCACAATCTTCAGCTCGTTCAGTTCCTTCTCGGCCACGTCGTTGGTGATGGCCTCCATCCAGTGGGGCATCACATAGTCCCAAATCTCGGAGGTGATGACCTCGTACGGCACCAGGCAAATGAGCCGCTGAAGACCTTCTTTTAAGTGACTTGTTCGCGATGCCAAGGTCTCCCAATGGCCTCCAACACGGGCATACTCCGGGGGATGTGGCAGCAGGCAGGAGATGAAGACGTTGTAGTGGATACGGCAGATGTCCTTCAGCCAGTTGCACACGTGATCAACTTTGAGCTTCTCAATGGTACTTTCCACTTGTCCGGCAGCTAAACAGAAACTTTGATGCTCCCTAAGTGCACAAATAATGTATCATCTTTACATACCATCATACGAGTACGCGGTCACATGAAACCAGTGGAAGAGCATGCTCAGAATCCTGCCCAGAACTTCCACGGGAGTATCTGCAGTAGGAGTGCAGCGACCCACCAGTAGCCAGATACCATAACGTCCCAGTCTCTGACGCTCCTCCAGAGAAATATTGTCTGCCGTAATGCCGGAGCCATTCTTCTTGGACTCGGACGACAAGGACTCCTTGCCGGGCTCAAAGTTTAACGGCTTCGCCTCGCGCAGAAGGCTCACCACCGACTCCACCATGTGCATCTGCATCTCTGGATCCATCTGCCAGGCGGGCTGCAGACTGCGATGGACCACGTGATCGCCTCCTCGCCGGGAATTGTGCCTATTGCTGTGGCACTGGCTGCAGTACCGGATCGGGTGGTTGCCATTGAAGCTGGCACACTCCGTGGAGAAGCAGATGGAGAAGGCCGACTTCTCGTTGGAGCGGCAGTTCTTGTTTTCGCAGACCATCGACACCTGCTGCATGGGATGCAGGATGTCGCCGAACTCCAGGCTCCCGTGCTCCCGATGAATCTCGTTGGCGCACTCGATGCACAGGTAAAGGGGCGGCGGACAGTCGGGGGCGTATGCGATGCTGATGCTGTGGTCGTAGCACACCTTCGCCGCCTCCGCGTTCCCGGAGTTCGGGCAGTGCTCCCTTTGGCAGGTGAAGGGCACCAGGTCATCTAAGAATATTAGAATATAATTATATCACATCCTGTTTTCCATGTAACTGGCAATTGAATATGAATTTCTTTTAACATGAGATAGGAGGAATAAGATCTGAAGGGTCTAAAGTAAATTGAGCTCACTGGTTAGCTTGGAGAGCAGAACTTTGCGATCGAATAGATTGGCGTTGAAGGCTGGCCAGTAGTAGAATAGCAGCTTAGCAGCCGAGGTTCGGGAAACAGCGGTTCCGTAGGCCACAACGCAGAGGATGTCCTTGACCACATTGTGCTTAAGGGTCATAAGGCACTCCAGGAGCTGGCAATGGTGAGCTGGATTGTTGGAGTACTGGAGCACCATCATGATGACCGACGACACCGACTGGCAGGCCTGACATTCCTGTTCGTCGGAGCTTCGACGAGCTGGCCATTACAAACCAAGGTATATAAAGCAGTTTCTATGTTCTGGGGCAGTAGCACTACTCACTTATAGTAAAGGGCAAGATATAGTAGCATAGAGCGTTGATGATGCATTGGTGCAACGCTGGTGGTAGTACTGATATAGTAGAGCTTACAAGATAGGGTAGATTATCGATAAGATCCTTGTCCAGGAAGGGAAGGATGCAGCTTAGGCACTGCAATAGAGCTTTTCCGAAGACTGAAAATGAGAATAACACCCATTGGAGTATTAGGAGTACTAAGATCCCTCAGGCTTAAGGTATCTTACCGATTTGGCCGTACTGGATGCAAGGTGCCACATCGATGAGCATTGTAAGAGCATTGTAGAGGTTGCCATACTCGAGATTGGGATAGGCAGACATGCGAGTGGGATCTTCAAGAGGATCGCGGATAAGCTCGTGCGGCGAGGTGCGCACATCTTTAAGGACAGCTGTGGACAAAGGTTAGTAGATATAAGTTGCTGGTAGGGAAAATATTTAAAAGGCCAAAATAGCAGATAAAACAATATTAATACTATAAAGTTGATACCATAACAGTATTTATAGCCCTATTTCCTATAAAAGCACTTACTTAGTAGAGTTTGAGAAAAGTATTTGATATTGTTAGCAATATCGACGCCAGAGGGCGCAGGCAAGACGTTGTGCAGTAGACGAACGTGGTATTCATGAAGGGCTCTCAGTTTTGCCTGAACTGAAAGCAGAAAAGAGTCCTTGAGCAGCCGAGGAAGCTGAGACTTCTGGGGACAACTTACAGGCGGCAGCGCGAGTGCCCATGTTGATGAGTTGCACCTTGAAGCTGCCAGTCATTATATCAGACAAATCCTTCGCATTGCCGAAACTGCTGCCGAGGGACTTCGCATTCTGCAGTAAAGTAAAAAATTTGAAAATATTTAAGACTTGACGCCCAGAATTACGTAATGCATCGCCCAAAAAGATGCGACCGTTAAGAAAGCGCAAACTTCAAAGAAAACACGGAATTTTCATGCAATCCGCGTGCGAAACGAACTTGGGTTAATATTTTTGGCAAAATTACCTCGAAATTGGTTAGTTTTTTCAATAGATTTGCAATTTTTTACGGGTTTTACAGCAAGCTACGTCCACGAAGAAAAATCTCTATAACTAAACTGAGTTTATGGTGTGTATCTGTGCAAGAATTTTGTTCTATCTGTTGGACGCCCGTCGACACCCTCTTTGCCATTTTGCCTTTTATACAGGCTAAAAGGGAAAGATTGAAGCGGTTCTAGTGGAAATGCATTTCAAATATATTTAATTATTAAATGTGCTATGTTGTTTGGTATATTTTTTTGTAAATGTGAGGGAATTTGAAGAAACTGGAGTTGTGGGGTGGGTGCTTGACCCACTTTTACCACCCACCCTCGACAGCAGCCCCAAGAAACAGCTGTTCGGAAGTAGGACATGCGCATATCGCGTGTTTATCTCGCATTTGCCGCACTCACCGGTCGGCTTGCAACAAGTGCTTGTTTTGGTCTGGCCAATGTAAATATTTACTATTTCAGCCGGGTCCGGAGTGTGCGCAGATTGTGCTCAATGTTGGTAAACAGCGCGCAGCTGTTCATCCTGATATGCAACTGGTATGTTTCGCATTTTCCACAGTACTGTAGAGATAACTAGACGCCTCGAAGTAATAAGTCCGCTATCTTGGCATATAACTCTTTGGAGATGATTACGGTCAGAATAGTTACAAATGTGTCCACACCCTTGTTCTTTAATACCACGCACACCAACAATTAAATACTCATTACAGGATTTAGTTAGCCAACTTTTGGGGGTGTCGCACTTTAGGGCTTCCTCGAAAGTGAGAACCCCAAAGATTCCCGGGGCTGTCTGGCTCATGCGGCACCTTTTAACCCCACCGCTTGCAACGCAGAACACGAAACTCGTTTGGGAAATCAAAACCACAGTGAAGACGTTTTAACAACCGATTTAACTGAACTCCGTGACCCCACAGACGACCAAAAACGGATGGGCTTACTGGACAAGATGATATGACACCATAACTTATTGGGGGTGTGTGTTTATTTCGTGGAGAGCTTGAAATAATAATTTGTGGAATTAAAGCGGAAATGTTTGAGTATGTACACGAATGAGAAGGGAAATATCTTGAATCCTTTAAGTGTTTAAAGTATATATAGAGTTATTGTGTGAGGTTGAACAGCCCCAATCGATTTGTGATCATTCGCTGAGGACTGGGAGAAATCTAGATGTTCCAATGGAGAAGACGGCTACATGGAACCCGCATCATCTTCGTGCTGGGTGGTGGATAGCTGGCCGCCCTCTAAGGCACTGAGAATCTGCTGGTCGGATGCCTTGCTGGCAACAATTTTTCTGAGCTTCGGATTGGCTGGCTCCGCATCCACGCCGTCTTCCAATTCCTCCTGCTCATCTCTGGCAGTCGGCTGAGAATCGGCATCGGGATCCTGGTTTACCGGTTGGAGCTCGTGGATCTCTTCAGACTCGTTCTCCACATTACTGTTATTGGACTGTCCGAAGACCGCGGTTTGGCGCTGGCTCTTCTGGCGGTTGAACAGTAGCTTCCAGTAGGACGAAATAGATGTCTTAATCGTGGGTTTGGCGTTCGGCAGCGGCTTCTCATGCTCGACGGGATCGACTGCCGAGCCCGAAGCTTCTTGACCATCTGGCAAGTGAGGATTGTGATTACTCAAAGCGAATTTGTGTTAATTGAAAGTTATTAGCAAATTTTGAATCTGTCAAAATAGAATCTTACCCTTGTTGGCTCCCTTCAATCGAGTGAAGAAGCGACTTATCGTGTTGGACTTTCCCAGCTCCTTGTTGTCCTGGGAGGATGAGTCGTCGTCATCCTCCACTTGGTCACGCATCAGCGGCTTCTTGCTGATCTTGAAGAAGCGCTTCAAGGAATTTGATTTTGGCGTGGGGGCCACCTCGGGGCCATCCACAGGCAGACCTTGGTCGCCAAGCGGAATATCTTGCAGATTGGACATCTTCGTCCAGTATGTCCACCGGAATTTTATCGGTTTTTAACAGAAAAATATGACTCGGTTTTATACGAAATATAAGCTTAATGTGACTGGTGTTGTTGAATAGAATACCAGACGCAAAATGCTAGAAAATCCAGAGCCAACTAGTTGTCACATTTTGAGAAGAGTAGTTTCAAGTTAACTTGATTAGAGCGGTCACTTTAGCATTTTTAACTTTAGTATGAGTCTGAGATTGGTACATGATAAGAACATTGATTAACAAACTAATCCTGTTGTATTATATAAGTATCAAAACATACCTACTATAATATATCAATATCTAACCGTTTTATTTAAATTTGTTATGGAATGCTTTCAAAAACATGTGTAGATAACAACAATATCGATTTCGTTTCTGCTGCCTCGTTTATTGCATTTGCCTTAGCAATTTGGCTACGTTTGGTTAACATGTGTTAACAACGACATCGAAACAGGTTTCAATTGATACGACTTTGATTTCATTTTCTCCCCGCATTCGAACTGTTTCCTCGGCCAGGACAAAGCCAAACTGGACTGAAGCCTGCAGCCCCAGAAAAAAGCTGAAATAAAAGCCAAAGGCAATTCATTCAATATGTGCACACAATACCCCTTCATATGCTGCTGCTGCCCCATTGTCTCAAATGTTCGAACTTCGAAGTCCGTCGTCCGATGTCCGTTGTCCGCTGTCCGCTGTCCGCTGTCCGTTGTCCGCTGTCCAGTTAGTGGTGCAGTGTTCCATTCCTGAGTTGGGCCCACCAGCAAAGTGGTTTCGCAAAATCAATTGAAGAGCTGGTGGCGATTCCTGCTGTCGACACTGCGCCATCCCTCCCGCTCTGGCCCGATCCCTTTCCGTGGTCCTGCTCCTGGAATCGAGGTCCGTTAATTTATGTAGTTATGTATTGCCGGTTGCCAGGACACCCGAAACAATGGACAATTGCTGCGGCACTTGCAGCATGCGGAGCGTATGCTTTTGTCTGGCGAAGGTGTGGACATTCTGAAAAACAGATATACATTATCATATCAATTTGAAAGCCATTAAAATTCATCAATTACTTATTACGGAGTGCAATACCGAGCATCAAAAGAGGACCACCATGGTCTATTAAAATATTAATATATTATACATATATCTTGTTAAACAGTAGTAGATATTTAGCATGTTTGCCCTTTAATTTGACAGCTTTCATAACCCTAGACGTGACTGCTCTTGTCCCCCATTTATGTATGTCCAACCCCGAATCCTTGATAAAAAGTTAATGAAAAAGCCCCACGCCGCCAACAACAAAGGGACATCAATAAATCATCAACAATAAAAGCAAGGAGGAAATGAACAAGGATACTGCAAGGCAATCCTTTTGCTCACCCACCCCGCTGAAATGTGTGAAAATGTCAGCGGCGACGGGTAGCTATCCCCATCTGCACCACCTCCCCCGCCGGTTATTATGCTCGCCCATTTGTGGAGTGGGCGCCATATAATGGCCAAAACGGAAACGTTGTTTGCAGCCAATTCATGGCCAACACACAGTTGCGAAACGGCAAATAACAAACAGCAAACAGCAAACAGCATAAACACCCCCTGCAGGCTTACGCAGGAGCAACACCACTGCGCTGTGCGGTGGGGCAGGGCTCCAACTGTGGTGCGGTGGGGCGGGGCTGCAACTGTGGTGCGGCGGGGCGGTGGGAACAATGGCAACAGCAGCAGAATCAGCAGAAGCTGCAACTGCAGACCGCAAAATGTGTTGCCACAACCCTCGGGGCAACGAAGCTGGAGCTGGAGCTGGAGCTGGAGCAGGAGCCGCATCTCTTGGGCCGGAGTTGTAGATGGAAACTCATAAGTTGGTCGTCTGGCAGACAAATCCTCGGAGCAAGTGCATTCATTCATTGGCAATAACAATCAAACTGCTGTTGGCAGTGCACAGTCCCTTTCCCTGCCCAACTCTGGATGCCATTCAACTTGTTTGCCCTGCTGCTGTTTCTGTTGCTGTTGCTGTTGCTATTGCTGTTGTCGGCAGCAAAAGCCAGAGCAGCAACAACATGCAACATGCAACAGCAACCACAAGCGACTCCGTGCTGTTGACTTTAATATTTCGGTCTTCTTCGTTTATTGCAGTCCCCCGAAAGATCAAATAGTCTGAAAATCGTCACAGATACCGGGAAATATCAGCTCCATGTGGGAAAGGTAAACCTTAACCAGTCGCTCTTGGGAATCCGATAAAGGGGCCATAAATCGTAAATTTCCCCCCATTCCATCGGGTTCTCAAGTTCAATTTGGCACTGCCGTTCGCCTTTATAGATTTACAATATTTACATAGTTGCACTGCAGTAGATAACACGGCGATAAAGAGTTCAATCGCATCGGTCTATTGCCTGCATCGCTTGGTGTTCAATCGCCGTTTGGCTGTCTGTTTTTAAATAAATAATATTGTGTAATGATAGCAATAATCCATATCTCGTTTGTGTAATCATTGATTAAATAGTCTCTCGTTTACGATCTCACACTTTCACTTTATCGAACGCGCACATTGGAGAAATGTGCCTGGATCGGAGGTAACTTATTTACCCGACCATAATCCTTCATGTACTGGTAATCTGGTCCTTGGGCGAGGGAATCTTCTCCAGCAAGTCACAACGTGGCCATGAAGTCCATCAATAATGCAAGTGGCCATAAATCGGAACCGTTGCCGGCGACACTCCGCTCGTCCCAAATTGGTTAGATATCGACTGATGGCTATCAAGGGCGCCAGCGGCAAAGCAGAATGTCAACAGTTTAATAAATAAAATCAGTCAGCACAACCAGCTGGGTTGCCAGCTCAGGCGCGCGACTGCAATTAAAGCGAAAAAAGGGAAAAAAGCCATCTAAAGGGGCACAGTCAAAGCCCAAGTGCGGCAAGTGCCGTCTCGGATCACTCACATGTGGCTGCTGCTGATGTTGCATGTGCCGTCGTGTGCGACAGGAGCTGATTGTCGCTGGTCCCAGATCGGAATCAGAATCGGAATCGGAATCAACGGCGGCATCGGAATCAGCGTCGACACATGCGATATTTGAGTCTCAACTGAGAATTATGATCGATTTATTATGCGACAACCAACGACGGCGGCTGCAGCAGCAGCAGCAACATGGCCAAGTGGCTGTGACAGGTTTGGGCTCTTCGCCTCGGGTTCTTGGCCCACGGAATATGCGCAAGACATTGATTTTCGCCAGGTAATGAGGCAACTCATTAATCATTTTTTCGTTGCGCACTGGCTGGGGGATTATGTTGCTTTTGCAACAAGCACACCGGCAACTCGCAACTGGCAACTGGCGACCGGCTACGAGCAACGTGCAACAGTTGCCGCTGCCTCTGACGGAATGCTGGCAACATGTTGAGCGTGCAGCTGCAGCAGCCGCTTCTCCTTGCATCCTGGCTGGCTGTCTCCTCTTGTTCTCTGCTTGATTTTGTTAACCTTTTGACCATTTGAAGTTATTTTTGTATGCTTTACTGCCAATTTGGTGGTCATTGGCCATTCACTTGACTTGCGCCTTGCGACTTGCTTGTCCGTTGTCTCTTGCCTGTCTGTTGCTGTTGTGCTGCAGTCGCCGTAGCTCTGCTGTTGCGGTTGCTCTTTTGGCACACAACGCACAATGTCTGACAGTTTGGCCGATTGCCTGGCCCCTGTTGCTGTTCCTGTTGCCTTGATATTGCTCTTGCACTCGCCAATGTTGCTGCTGTCGCCGCCGCCGACGTCTCCTGGCTTGAGGCACACAGCGGTGATGCTCATCTGGCAGCAGGACGGATGCGGTCTGGTGGACCCACTGGATGCACTACAGCGGCAAGCCTGCAGAGCCGCCTCCCAGGAAGCTGTATTTGATCATAAACCAATTACTGTTCTATACTTTTATTAAATGATTCATAATAGACACCTTGTAAAACTACAGATCAAAGTCACTGAACTGAACGCATTCTCTTACAAGGAGGATTGTAACATCACTTCACTATATAAAGTAGGTGTCGAGGTATACTTAGGATGATTAAATTATGCACTTATTCATTATTTATTGGGTTATATCATATCATCATATATCAAATATATCAAATCAATATATTGATTTGGCTTGGGAGTGCGGGTTAATCATGGAGCACTGAAGGGTATTGGGGATGTACCTGAATGGCTTTATAGCCACTTTTCTGCACTTGTCGCGCACAGTTGGCCAACTTGTAAATGCCTGTCGTTGCGGTCGTTTGGGGGCCATTAGCCTTCGCCTTCATCTTCGGGTCAGCCACACGCACAAATCCCGAAATTCTGGCAAAATTTCTTCATTTTGGTGAGCGACTCGCTGGCGGCTGGGAGCTGCAGTTGTTGGCAATTATTTATAGTTTCTGATGTATTCAATTTATTATGCAGATGGTTAGAAAGTTGCTAAATACTTGATGTACGACTCTAACATATCGGGTGTAATTTTTCTCCGGCTGCTGCAGGAAGTTCGAGGGAAATGCAGCCAGATGCAGATGGGTATATTAGAAATGCATGAGTTTTGCTTCAGTCGGAAAAGAAAACATTTAACTAGCTGTTTAATTTACGATTTTCTCACGATTATTCAACGATGATTGATCCGTGGAGTCGAGGTATTTCCCAGTGGAATCTGAATCGATACGTGGCGTTAAAAACGCCGTTTGCTATCAAATTCGCTTAAAGTTCATCACACTATGGATGGTAATTAATTACGGGAACTTGCAGAAAAACACTGAAGCCAGAAGCCGGCAATTAAACATAAATAACCGAGACAACTTAATTTTGAAGGTTGGCTGTTCTGCAGCCGATTCGATCGATCGACATGCAATTCTCCATGCATTAAAGTTTAAAGGCCAGCTAGAAAAAATGCAGCAGCAGCAGCAAACAGCAAGGAGAAAAAACATTTTCTAATTTATTAATATGTTTAAGAGGGAAAAAATCTATTTGGCAAACAAGACCGACTGACAGCTAACATAGATCGCGGTGGCTGGCGCAGACCATTAGAAAGCGATTAGATAGCGATACAGATACAGATACTCCATACTCGATACTCGATCCCCCGAAAGACATATGTAACCCACGAGCGGTCGGTCCAAGGAGCAGCGGCCAAAACAATGTCAGACCGCTTTGCCCGGTCCGCCGAACAATGGCAGCTAAACATGGCAAGTTAACAGTTTAATTTACCTGGAGACAAACAAAAAATGCCGCTACATGCTGGCCAACGATATGCGGATATTTAATGTATCCGCCAGATACGTAACATAGAAAAAAGCGCGCTGCAAAAATAAAATACCGCTCTCAATCTCAGGACCTAACAAAAGCTGAATAGCTGAAAAAAATCGAGCTCAACTGCAGTTATCGCTCATTATGGATCGTGATCAATGGCGTAGAGTGTGTGTGGTGTATGAGAGCCCCGAAAAAAAGGAACCGCAAGATAAACGCACTCCGGCCAAAACGGAGTCCCAGTCCCCTGAAAACAAAGGCTCCCGGTCGGGCCAACAAGTGTTGCTGGCCAGCGGGGCAAAAAGCCGAAAAGCAGAGGCAACGGTAACAATCTGGTGGCCAAGTGGAGTTTTGGCCAAGCTTCCGCCTCGCATCCTTTTTCGATCCTAATTTCGCATGCCTTGCTTCGCAAAACGGAGCACAGCCGAAATAACCAACGACCCAAGGCTAAATGACCGTTGAAGATTAGCCCAATCTGTCGGTCTTGACCAAGAAGCACTTCGGGTAGAGCTACCCTAAACTCACAACGCATTTTAAGCGTGGTCTACCATGCAATTTGCACAAGTTGTGTTTAAAATGATTTAATATCGGGAGTATTATGCTAAATAGATTTATGTATTTCTAGGCCAATACCCTAATCGGGTTTTTGCTAAAAAATTGGTATATATGTAAGCGTTTTTTAAGCGATAAGTAGCATCTTATGGAACTGTATTAAAAGTTAATTTGTCAATGAAGTGTACCTCTTTATTTAACAAAATGCATTTAAGTTAACTTATTCAACCTTTCAGGGATCAGGCTGCGTCTCCTATGCCAAACCTTGCTGCATTTCATTATGTTAATAAAGCATTTAATTAACGCACCATTTATGGCCATCAACCCAATCGAATGCAGTTTACTTTCCCGGCCTCCACCTGGCTCCTTCCCCAGTCCACTCGATCCTTCCGCCGGTTCCTTCTCCTTCGCCGGGATCCTCATCCCCATTCACATCTCCATTGTGGTGCGTGCAGCGTATCTGAAGGCAAGAAAGGAAAAATAGCCGATACAGCTGCGGTTTAGGCGGTATTATGGCTAAGAGCTCCGCAAAAAAGTACAAAAATAATAAAAACCCAAAACAAAAAATGCGGTAACCGCAAATGTTTTGCTGTAATTTCTGGTGTTTTTGCTTAAACGCTTCGATTTGGATTCGATATGCTGCAGATACAGATACGGATACGCTTTTAAGATACACTTTCAGTGCTCTTGGCCTTTTGCTTTTTGCTCCAGCGCCAAATGACATTGAAATGAATAGGGTTTTTCTTTGAATGCTGCAAAAAATTGATGCCGTATCGGTTGATTTGGTAAATAGGAGGTGGTTCTCGAGTGTTTTTGCTCCCATTTTCGGCATTGACTTTTAAGAACCTGAGAACAGAACTCAAGCCCAGCGGGGATATATGAACTCTTTTAACCTGGAACATACATTTATATTTAGATCTTATTTATTTGATCTTAACACCCATCAATCAGTAATCCCCTGGGAGTACAATTTTCAGCAGTAGCACTGTTTCTAGAGGCGTAGAAATTCAATTTATTAATTGGCACCTGTTCTGAAACTGGTTAGCTTTCATAGGCTAGCCATAAATATTTATTTTATTGACCTCCCGTTGGCCAACGTGCCATGGAGCTTCCATCCAAGTCCTCCCAGTACTCTCTTCGCCAGCCAATCCTAAGTAGTTTTCTATGTCAACCGCTCACATTACCCACCCGATTTGGCGGCATTATAGCCGTTTCCATATTCATGCTTTAAGCCCATACGCACAGCTTCTCGGCTGTCAGGCGGAACAATGATAATTTCCAACCGAAAACTGGCTTCCACATCCAAAATACTCGGATGAGTGAAAAAGGAAACATTGTGGCTTTACCGTTAGCCGGCTATAACCCATCAATTATATTGTAATGATGTCTGGCCTCAGCTACTTCTGCCGCGGCTGCTGCAGTCGCATCTTCAGAAATCATGAGCAGGAATGGCAACTGGCAACTCGCAACTGGCAACTGGGCAACATGCCCATTATCAACGTCATCATGGGGCGGCGGTGGGGCATTAGAATGTTCCGGACTCAGAGGCATCCACGTTCGAGTTCGAAAAGGAAAACTACTTGTAGCACTGATGAGAATCGCGCCGCCGAATCCACGCAACTTCCACCTGGCCGACACTCGCTGCTGCCCGTCGATGCACTGGAAAAAAGTGTGGCGCCCCAGCAGTTCCCCAAGGCCAGCGTCGTATTTTTCTGAAATTATTTTACCTGCATTTCCTCAGTGGCTCCTTCAGAACTTTTTAGCCGTTGTAGCATTTGCATTCGAGTGTCCACTAAACGTCAATTAAGTGGGCTTTAGCCACTACTCGGGCTGGCGGGGCAGTTTGATTTGGTCGCCACTCCTGCTCCACCTCCACTTATCTGCAGCCCTCCACTTTACAAAAGCTCAGGAGTTCAGTTTCGCTCCAACTGCGATTTCCACTTCGCCAGTACAAATACATAACATAACATAACATGAAGTAATAGCTTTAACAATGTTGTGTGCTCAAGGCTTTTGGAGGGCGCAATGGGGGCTCTGGAGGGGCTGTCTAGGCGGGAAGGGCTCCATGGCCGGCACTATCGTTGTCGTCATCATCTGCATGTGTGAGCCTCTCCTCCAGTGGTTTTCCCAGTGGCTCCGGTGGTGCTGGCGGTGCCTTTGTCATTCCGCCATGACGCATGCGTAACGTTCGATTTGATTCAATTAATGGACGGGAATTGTCTGTACGTGTGGTTTGATCGGGTTGGGTTCGTCTTGGTTTCGATTTAGCATTGCTGGCTTTGGTTTGTTTTGGGATCCAAGCAGACTGCGGGGCAGACTTTTCACAAGAATACACTGATGGATGGATGGTTGTGGGTCTCGATTCGCAGATGCAGCAGAAGCTGGAGTGCTGCGCAAATACATTAAGTGTATTGCAGGTTGAGCTGTACGCAGAACACTTCGGCTTTCCATTGGGACTAATCGAAGGTAAATATTGATAATTACATTTTGAAACATCGTATTTAATATTCTTAACGCTGGTGCAGCTTTGGCTCAGAAGATTGTGACCCACTCTACATACTAATTGTATCTACACTAGAGCTCTAGACCTTTGAGCAATCTGCATGCCAATAATTGATTGCACTCGAGTGCTGAGTAAATGGAAGCTCTAGCCCGATCATGATTTATTGCCAATGCATTGTAAATACGCCGAGCATCAATCACGAAATTCCAAATACGCCCCTCCAACCAGCCCATTAAAGCTAACCGCTCATAATGATAATCTTTAAAACTAAACGCCCGCACTGTCGCGTCAAATGTATCTGCATTCAGCGGAAAAAGGCACTTTTAATCGTTTTTTGTACCGACTAGCTCATCACATTTTCCATAGTCAGGCTCCACAGCGTTGTTTGTCAAGTGCGCAATTACTTATAGTTATTTTATATTTTTTGCCAAGCAGCTGGCGACGCCAACGCCAAATGGCGGCAGCTGGGAGTTGCCAGTTGCTAGTGGCAAGTTGGCAACTGTGCATAATAATACCAATTGCAATCGCAGTGTAGCTGGCAGCAATTAACAATTTTTAACCTTGTTGTGCATGATGCATGTGGCTGAGAGAGCACTCCGATCATCTCATGATCCGCCGGTGACGATGATGATGACGATCATGGTGATGCTGGCGCATAAAAAGCTGCTAAATGTTTTCGAGTGCTCTTCTATTTCGCAATTAAATCGATTTCAGTTTCGAAGCATTCCGTGTTTGCAAATGCGAGACATCATCGACCCCAATTTGCATAATCGATGGCTGATTGCAGCGGCTGTCGTTAGCCATTATTAATTATGAAAGTGTTATTCGACTTTCAGTGATGGCCAGACAGCGACTATCTTAATTTATAGATCGTTACTGCAATCCGATATTCTCGTTAGCATTTAGCTACGAGATGGTTTCACGAAGCTACGACTTCAAATGGATTGCTCATTTCGCAAGTGCCTTTTCCATAATCTGAAATGGCGTTCAGCACTCTGGCCGTTTAATTACTCATTTAAAATGAACACAAGTTCCCCAAGAGCTGGCTCAAATACCTCGCATAACATTAACCCTGTTACCCGCAGCAACTCCACTTGCAGCAGCAGCATCACAAGTGCAATCAGAGGAGCGTGACTTCGTTGTTTGATTGTTGCTGCAAAAGTGAAGGTTGCAAACGCTGGAAAGGCGACAATTAATGCTCTGATAAAGCCAGAGAAAGATGCAACACGAGCAGCAGCCGTGGATGCACCAACTGCAGCCGCAGCAACATGCGACAGCAGCAATTTCCAGCTGCAAGTGCCACAACTGCCACAGTCGCCGCGCGAATTTCCGTTAATAATGTTGTCAAAGCGTTCCGATGCGTTGATAAGCGCTTTCGTTTTGACGCTCTATTATGTGGGCGTGGCCGACGGGAACAACGCAGCGGACTTTGTGACAATGGGCGATCTGCGGAGGAGTAGGCGTGCCCAGTCGCATTTCTCTCGTCCCGGTGGCATGATAATGGAGGGCATTGGATTCCAGTACAGCATGCGATATCAGCCGGGCTTCCACCTCCACAAGTTGGCCCAGCAGCAGGCGGAGGATGGAGGAATGGGCGGCATGGAAAATCCACCTGCGACGGAAGCCCCAATGCCCATGCCCACTCCCGGTACACCGCCGCCTGATCCACCGCCCCCAGAGCCGCAGGAACCGGAGCCCACGATACCCATGCGTCCCACAACCATTCCAGTAGAGGTATGCCGGGATAGGGGTGTTCTCGTGACCTTAGTGCCACCCACTGTATAATCAGTGTCTCCAGAAATTACAGTGAAACACTCTTGAAAGACTTGTGTAACATAGGTGCATAGGTGAAATATCTTGCTTAAAGTTTTATTTAAGAACTTTATGTTAATTGAGTGATTTTTACTTTGCAAAGTGAAAGCTATGTGCACCTTTTACTCATCGGAACTGTCCACTATATCATCTAGCTCTTATAGGAATAATTACCAGAAGAGCTTATAATATAAGCCACATGATAAGCTGCCCTGTTGCTTCCATTTCATGTATTATCTAGGAACCTTCAGGAGTGCAACCCACGATGATGATGCCCACTCCGAGTGCTTCGCCAGGGATGCAGCCCAGCCCCAAGCCGAGGCCCACTGGGAAGCCCTCGCCGAGTCCGCCAGTGCCGACGCCACCATCCAGCACCAAGAGCTCCATAATGCAGCCCCACCAGACGCTGAAGAACATCCTCTTCGGCTCGCCCATCGAGGCGAATCTCATCCTGAAAAAACCCAATGCTCCGCGCTCGAAGGGCAAGGGCTTCCTCAGCCTGTTCGAGGTGATCAAGTTCCCCAACACCAAGTGCAGCGTGTCCATGGGCGACATCCGGAGCATGGAGGGCGTCTGCTACCACGAGTTCGAGTGCAAGAGCCTCGGGGGGATTCCCACCGAGAGCTGTGCCGAGGGCGTGGGCGTCTGCTGTGTGTGTGAGTGAAAGTACAGCGATGGACTTGCACGATGTGGCACCACTAACATCCAACTTCTTTCACTGGCAGTCGTCAATGGATGCGGCGATGTCACCAGCCAGCAGATCCTCTACTTCGAGAGCCCCAACTATCCAAATGCTGTGCGGGAAATGATGATCTGCGTCCTAATCATCAACGTGAAGCAGGGAGTGCAGCAATTGAGACTGGATTTCCAGATGTTCGAGGTGAGTTGCAATCTCGAATGCGTAGTCCTTAGCTTAATTGATTTTCCACAATCTCCAGCTAAGTCGCCCCAGCAATGGTGACTGTGTGGACGATCAATTTATAGTCTCCGGCCACAATACCAACTTCCAGATACCCATTCTGTGTGGCATCAACACGGGCCAGCATAGTAAGTGCTTTCAAACGGATTTGAAATGTAAATGCAGTCCTGGCTTGTCTTTCAGTTTATATCCATGTTGGCGACTCGAACGAGGGCAAAGTGTATCTATCGGTTTTCATGAAGGTCTCGGGAGGCGGACGTTCCTTCAACATAAAAGTCACTCAGGTGGACGACGAGCTGGCCCCCAATAATTGCCTGCAATATTTCCCCGAGGCCGAGGGCGTAATAAAATCGTTCAACTATGATACAGATGGTTCAATCGTGGACAACCGAGAGGCTACTTATTTTGTAAGCCAAAGCCTCTTCAGTTAAACTAACTTTAATGGGTATTTCTTGCTGTAGAACAATTTGAACTATGCCATATGCCTGTCCCGATTGAAGAACGTGTGCAGTGTGGCGTATAATACGGAACAACTTGGAGGTGATCAGCCCGACTTCCAAATCATCAACAAAGATGAAGGTATGATTCCAGAATAATGTATTTCAGAGCAAACTACTTATACTCATGCCGTTCCATAGCCGAGAACGACTTGGTCTCCGATGGGCAGGCGGGCGCTGGCATCTTCAACTGTCCGGACGACTTCATAGCCATCAACTCCGTTCCCCTGTGCGGGGAGCGGTTCAACGACGGCCGGGAGAGCGACGACTATACCATCCACGCCACCGTCAGGGATACCGCGGCGGGTCCCATCATCCTGCCCTTCCGAACCGATGCCGAGTATGTGGGTCGCGGCTTTCGCCTGCTCTACAGACAGGAGCTGTGTGCCTGAGATCCCACTGCGATGTGCATGTCGAGCACTGGTTCACAAGATGCATGTGTTCCGCAGTCAGATGTTCCGTGGCCAGATGCTTGGCTGCACGGCGGGAAAACTGCCTTACTTATTGGTTTTTCAGCTCCTGTAAGATAACTTCAGAGAACATGTACTATTGCAGTTCCCTTTCCAAATTAAAAACCTGTTATATGTACATCACAATTTATGTCAAACGACTGATTTTGGAAAGAAAGACACCTTCCTTTGTTCTCAGTGCACATACGGAATTTAGCACGCCTTGGTCAACTGGAGGGCATTGGAGTTGGCAACATCGGATTGGGGCTGTGCGACGATGGGAACGACAGTTTCCGTTCCCGTTCCCAGTGCTGCCCCCGTGTTAATGTGTTTTATGTGATTCGAAGCGATTTGGTGGCTTAGTCTTGGCGCCGCCCACCCACCGACTGGGCGGCTCGCGGGTTCGTAGTTCACACAGCATCAGAGCCACCAAATGCAAGGGACGCGATGGAGTCGATTGGCGTTGGTGTTTGTTGACAGGTTTATTTCAAATTTTCACGTCTCGCCAGGGCAAAAAGACAGTGTATGTACGAAAGATACTATGACGAAATCTATAACTCGCCGCATCGCCATCCGTTCCGTTCCGTTCGCTCGATTCGCGGTCTCTATGCTTAAATTTGTAATAAATTTGATTTTTTCCTTTCGATTGCGATTTTCCCTTGGCTCGGCTTCGTTTGCCCCGCTGCTGCATGATAAAGTCACAATTAACCCACGCCTTTTTCGTAGCGGTACTCTTACATATATTTGCATATCATTTTGATTGTTTGGATTCGGGCTGAACTATCCATGCCGTCGCTGACATGGTGATGACTAAAAGTGTGCACTGCACCACCAGCACCGCCAGCACCACCGGCGACAACAACAACTAGACCAAAGCAATCATGAAAACGACAACAAAAATTACTTCTCGACCAACAATAGAAAAAAGAGGAGGAAGAGGGCCAAAAAATGGCATATTGCATGCACAAGTTTTGAAGTTTGTCATCAAATGACGTTTTTGGATACCTTGGATAACTCTATGTGGCACTGTGGTAGGGCATATGCAATTTTCAGTACTCCAAATAGTGTCATTCGCAAGAAAGCTAAGGAACTTTTTTCCAGTATCTCATTTTGCTTTTGTTACCAACGAAAATGGGTGGCCAGTGGGATTGGGTGACCTTAAATCAATAAACATTAATAGTTGTGATTCATATAAGTTGTATCTTACATTCGTGGTATTTATAATGTCTATAGAATTATTCAGACGGTTGTTTCTGCAATACCAACTTTGCCTTTCCAGCGTTTATACACTTTGATTGCCCTCTTAATCACTCAAAACCACTGTGCCTTGGCAGCCCAGCAACGCTGGCATAAATAAATAAAACCGTAAAGCCAAGAAAAAATTGTATAAAATAAAAATCCCTTCAGGGCGTAACGTGAACTACATTAGAAATTGAAAATCCACCGACGCCGCCGACAAAACCACAACTTTGACGACGTGGATGTGGATGTGGATGTGGATTGGGATGACGATGACGATGACTGTGACTATGAGACGAGGACGTCGACAACCAAGACGACATCGAGTCAAAGACAACATGAGAATCTTTTTCGCCATGGCAAGCCGAAAAAACAAAAAGCGCCGTTTGATGGAAATTAGGAAACTGAAATTCATTTTTTGAGGTTTGGTTTGGGCTGCTTTTTTCCTTTTTGCTTGTGTTTATGTTAGGGGGTGTGGGAACCAAAGGGAAATCAAAGCAAGCGTGCATGGCAACGCCTTTTGTCACAGTTGCAATTTTTTGAGCAGACCGCCAGCATTTGCATAATTTAATCAATTCGGAATGAGACAAAAGGTGAAAACTTTGCAGCCTTAATCCTGCCCGATTGCCAGACAGCACGGCCTAAACAGACAGTTCCAGAGATCTCTGAAATCGGTGTTTTAATTGCCGACACCCCCTCGAAGCCACCAGAGACGATCACCACCAGCCGGGTCCACTCCATTCGAGGCATTCAAGGCGGCTGGCATGCCAGAGATCCCAATCGCATTCGAAGTAGCCATCGCGATCGCGGAACAGATCAATGCTCCCAGGAGTGGGACACCGCGAAGATTGGTGGATCGCGGCAAACAGAAATACTGGCAAAAATGCCAATAAATTTTTGACAAGACATTATACAAATGCTAACTTTATTAAATGGCCATTGGTCAGACCACCGCTTGAGTTGGTTAATTGCGCTGGTTATCGATGGAAAACAACGAAACAACGAATGGAGAAGTCAAAAGGGGAAAATGCAGTCGGCATGCGCCACAGCAGCCATTGGAATAAAGCGATCAAGCGGACTGCAGCTCCTCTTATCGCTGGAAGTCTATCTAATGAGCCGGGCATTCCATCCCCCAGCCCGCAATTAATTTATGAACCCAGCAGAACGTTGATCATTTGGCCAGTGGAGCTCTGTTTTAATGGTCGTGCAAGCGGCATGAGGTCCTGTTGGAGTTCAAAAGGAGTCCTCTTATTTGAATGCTGCAGAATCCGCGGGGTCATAAAATGTTGCCAAGCTTGTCTTAAGCTAAGGTAATTAGTCATTGCTGAATTAATGACATGTCCATCTGACATTCTGGCATTGATTCCCAAGATCAATTCGATTTTGAAAGGAGTCTTGATCAGTTACGAGAGATAATTAATCAATGGCAGCTTTTTTAATTATGATCTTAAGATTTATATAAATGGTGAGTACTTTTACATGCTGGAAACACCCTGAAACAACCTCTAACTCCTTTCCAGCACCTCAGCTTATGTGAACTAGAAAATTGAAATAAACCTGCTAGATCTAATGCAGCCGCTCAACTTGGATGACCCCACTGCAGTTCTAAAAGCGCCTGAGAAGCCATTACTCAAACACCAAACACTTGACCTCCGACCCTTGGGCGAAGACTAGGCGACAATCGTGCTGGGCGAGATTCGCAATGGATTATTATATGGTCACCCACTCAGGCTTTGGGCTTCAGGCTTTGAAGAGCGGCGAAATGAAGACTGGAGGAAACGTAGGAAGGTAGTAACCGAAGTGACACCAACACATCAAGTGAGCATTTTATGATTCACGCTTGCATTAAAATCTCATCTCGCAGCGCGGAAAACAAATCGCACTAAGCTCCACGGAACCCAACCCCCCAAAGGAGGGGTGGGGCTTTTGTCTTGTGATTTGGGGCAGGGAGCCAAAGAGGGCTGAGCCTCGGACTCGCGCAACTTCACGCCGTAATTAAACTGTCTTTGGTTGTGTAGTACAAGCGTTCAAGCATTCAGCCGTCCAAAATCCATCCATCCATCGCATTGCCATTTAAAGTTTCTTTTACTTAACAGATTCCACTCTCCACCTACTGCCGCATATGTGTGCTCGTCGTTTTTCACACTATTTTCTACTAATTTAACGATTTTGCCCGACTCAACGTCGAATCGGTTCGGGCCTGGTCCAAACTTTTCTCCAGTTCGCCACACGATTTTATTGCCGCACTTTTAGCACATCCCGCCCCTCCGTTTATTTACATGTGTAAAAACGCTAAGTGTTTGCTGCCGGTCAACTTACAATGGAAATTGGCACATGGGATTTTTCTCAGTTTCGTTTTACATAACATTTCCAAGGGCGAAATGGCATACAAATTGTATTTACGTGCGATTGAGGCGTATACTTACACACTTCAAAAAGTATTAAAAGTTGATTACTGTACTTTGCTTAATTGTTAAATAGAGGTAACTGCTTTAATAATATCAATAATACCTTTAATAATATCAATTAATAAAGCTAAAAGATAACTAGGACCTGCCCTAAAAATATTGGTCTTAGCATAAACCCTTTTTAAGAAAAAACGGTGTTTCTTATTGCACAAAATGGCCCAACCACGAGTCGCCATCTTCAGACTTTCATGGCTCGTTTATCAAAATATCAACACCCAGCCAAAAAAGGAGCCTTCCCAAATTTGCGGCTACCCATTTTGGCGCATATGTTGCATGTAAAACATTCGACCGCAGATAACAAGGGGCTGAAAAGTCCAGAATATGGAAACTAAATGGATTTCGCGGCGAGGAGGCACAGAAGGCCAGGGCAGAATGTGCATAAATCGCGTGAAAAATGTGAAAGAAGAAACAACATTTTGACGCCGAAAAATAAGAGGAAAACTCATGATTATGAGTATGAAAAATTAATGATAGTCACAGCATGGCAACAGTTGCACGCACACACGAAAAATGAAAAAAACCAAGAAACCAAGAAACCAAGAGGATGAACGAGGGGCAACGATGTAAATAGGCAGATTAAGCATACGCAACGTTGGCCAAAGTGGCCAAGCCTTGTCAGCGTGAATTTTCCAAGGCTTATCCGTTAGTTACACACAAGCACAAGCACAAGCACACACGCATACACAGTCAGCAAATGCAACAGCTTTCCACTCTCGGCATTTTTAATTTTTATTACCATTTGCCTGATTTTTGCATTCAGTTATGGCTCTTACTTTGCATTGCCACATTCTCCCCACAAATCTCTCGCTATTTCGCCATCTCTCGGCAAATGCACTGCGTGCATTTTTCATCGGCTCAGTAGCCGGGTCGGACAGCTAAACTTTCTTTCTTCCCCGATTCGCCAGCGACTTGGGACTTACACTGAGAAGAAATCTGAAGACATCCTGTAGGATGCCTAGGTGAGCAAGTGAACCCAAAAAGATATAGCGTGCCTATTAATTCCTATTGCATGCGAAATATTTTTCTTATGTGTGTAAGGCTATATAATTTTTAATTTCAAAGGGAAATTTATTTGTCGAGAATCTCCTTTTTTTCAATTAAATCGTAAATTAAAAGATAATTAAAATTAGATTTTATTGTGCCCGTCGTACGATTGAGTAGTTCTGTAAGTCTTACCAATGCTGTTAGCAGCTTAGTGGGTTTTTAGCCGTGCAGATCCGACTCGCGGCCTAATCGCCTCATCTCTCGCCGTTCGCCGGCCATCCGAGATCCAAGCTCCAAGTGTCACAGTCGGAGACTCCATCTGGAAGGCTCTGTCTCTGCGGAGACACATCGCCACAGCCATCTCCATCTCCGTCTCAATTCGCTGGGGAGAT